ATATTTGCTACATGATCCATGAAGAGTCTACATGAATATATATGTAAAATCACCAGATTGCTCTTTTGGCTTACAGTTGATGAGTCTGAATGAATAATCATGAGAGCTTTTGATGGGCACATGGTTATATCTTTTCCACATGCAAGTGCACCTAAGCCATGTTAAAACCTGACTTTGAATTTGGATTTTTTTTTACCAGTGTGCTGCTGAGATGCAATACAAAATAATAATTTAGAGAATGTGTTTTGATACATACATATATAGAAGTAAAACCTATAATGAATGAAAGGCTCAAACAAAATGAAAATGGAATAAAATTATTGATTTTTCCTAAATGGTGTGAGTCAGGTGTGCTGTGTTTGAAATGATGTACATTATGTCTGCCTCTCTCTTTCAGACCCAGAGATGCTGTAAACTAACTGCTAGGTAAGGTCTGCTAAGTGTGAATCATTTGATTGCCGTTGTTTGTGCAGCATCTGTTCCAAAGCATGTTTAATTATTTTTGTGTGTTAAATTCATGTAGGTTACTCGAGAATTGCTTAACTAAGTCTTAAAATTGCAGCTATTGCAGAATTCATTATCTTGATTATCATTAGAGATGGGCAGAGGAGATTCCTCTTCATACTTTATTCTGAAACCCTAAAGTGCAGCTCAAAATTACACTTCCAAACTTATATGCACCTTCTGTTCTTTTGCCAAGCCCCTCTTTGTACCTGACCTCAGCTTGAGAGACTGCAGACCTTTCCCTGAGTCCAGGTAAAGTTCTCTGAGTTCACCTGAGCAGGCCTGGAAGAGCTGTGATTAATTTTTTCTGCTGGTGTTAGAATATCTCAGATGTGTCCAGTGAACCAAACAGTACAGAAAAATCCCAAAAAAGACCACATTTAGCTGCAGAGTGATAAGGTGGGCTGGCACCTGCCTATGATGTGTGTATTAACTTGATGCCAGATGTAGTTCTACATTTTAAGATGATATTAGAAAAACAGAAAATACCAGGCAAGAGTCCTTTGCCTAAAAAAAAAACCAAAACAACATAAAGCATTTTCACTTAAGAGAAATAAACCAGTAGGGCTGATAATTTACTTATCTTTGTACTCAGGCTGATGATCTACCCTTGGATAAGCTGCGGTGTAGTCTAACTTTTATTAACCTGTGGCTAATAAAGGCAAGCGAACTGTACTAGCCAGTGCAATCCTTGGTATATACGACTCATTTTGAATGGGGCTTCCCTATTTTATTTCAGGTTTTTGATGACTTTGAAGCTGCTCTTGGGAGCTCTTTTCAGCTTTTTACCACTGTAAGAGCTAGAAATAATCTTTTAGTTAGAATCACAGCTTTTAACATTAAAAAAATCACCTGATTCCAGCAAGTGGGAGCTCTTGGTACAGCATAAAAGTGCAGAGCTCACAGTAAGAATTGGCAGTGTTGCTCAGGGCCCTTATCACTGGTCTTTGATGCTGTGAGCATGGAATAGTGCTGGCAGCGCATCTTGGCAATTTATGCAAGCAGCTCACGCCTTCATAGCACTTACTTGTCCTTAATGGGATTGTGTTATAAGATAATGGATATCTTATTTCCTAAGGAGATATTTAAAACAGTATCTGCATTTGGAAAACCCTTCAAAACTGGAACTGCAGGAAAATGCTTGTGATACAAATACTCTTTATCCTGCAAATGCTTTATCATGTGCAGATTTTAGGATATGGACTTAAGTGAAAAGCTTAGCTGAGTTTTTAAGAGAGAAATTTCTCAACTCTGCTTGGGATTTGAATTGCTATTCTACTGTCAAAATCAATGAACAGGATAGCTAGAACTCTGCTCAGTTCTTGCAAAATGCACTAAGTAATTTCTACGTGATTCTCAGTTGTCTTGAAATACAATTACATTAAAAGTCAGGTTCAAAAAATAGAATGAGATTTCCAATAGACTGGTTGACTCACTTTAATTAATAATTCTTTAATTATAGACATTCATTAATATCATAAAGTTCTTCTAGTTGGCATCAGTTGGTATCAGGCATGTAACTAAAGTCTCATTTCCCTGAGGGTGTACATGGCTAGTTTAATTTGCCTGAGGGCTTTTGACTGTAAAATCTCAACCAACATTAAGCAAGTAAAACTAAGGTACATTGGTGAAATCCCAAATCAGGACAGATGTTTCTTCACAATGATGTGCAAGCCCCGATATTCCCATGGAAACAGTTCTGAATTGAACATTTTCATGTAGTGATTTCAACTACATAACCAAAGTTATACAATGTGTGCATGTTCACATTCACATGTGGCCGTGGGTGTATGCTAACAGGCTTGGGCACTTATTCTCATAGCAATGTTGCCTATGTTGTTATGTGCACACATGTCTATTTACATACAGATTAGTGGACCTATTTAATACTGTAAGTAAGTGATAAACTGTTGATATTTCTCTTCTGTTCTTTCATTTGTTTTATTCCTTGGGAAAGTAGAAAAGGCAAACCCCTATTTCAGCAACAAATTGCCAAAGTAATGTTGAGGTCTTTGAAGACAGTCTTTGGATTTTTCCAGGTGTGAAAACCATAGCCAGAAGCAGAGACCTGAACCAGTGCTGGAGGAAAGCTGGGGCATTTGTGTCCAGCACTGTGCACACACATTGTGGCTGGGTAGGCATTGCTGGGAAAGACCTCTGCTCTGTTATACTCCAGTTTCTTTCTTTTTTCACAGTCCCTCTGCTTTACCAGTGAAAGTAATTTCCATTTCCCATACACATATTATCTTTCATTTTCCATGTCAAAAATTATTTCAGTAATTTATGTCAGCATTTCTAATTTGTACAGGATGATTTTTAATATTTCTCTCTCCTTAATGATGTTTGCTTCTCAGTCATAATCTACTCTCCAGATTTCATTTGTAGAGAGTGAAACCTTGCAGGGAAAATGGGAGACAGTAATTGGACCTTAGAAGGTGGCAATCCAGAGTAACCAAGGCTTTTTGGGAATGGGGAAGGGAGCTGCTGATTAGATGTTTTTAACAGCCAAAACTAAAAAAAGATATATTTTGTGAGAATGTTTCTCTAAGTATGACTGTAAGAATTATTTCATTTTATTGATTTCCTTACAGCTAGATGTCAGTAATCTGAGATAAACCCTTCTATGCTTGAAATCAGAACCTACCTGTTGCACTGCTCTTAAACCAAAGGCAATACCAAATCAAAGGGCCTTTGAGGAATCATATGTCCTGCAAAAAGTAAAATCAGCTGGCACAAAGTAAAATCAGCTGGCACCAGCTTCCAGAAAGCAGGAGAGCCACTAAGCACATTTCATCTGGTCCTAGTGCTGCAGAATACTGGGCTCTGGCAGGCCCCTCTGTGCCTGCAGGCTGTAATAGGTGATGCACGGACACAATTTATAGTCAAAAATGTGTTGACATTGATTAGATTAGGGGAGGAAGATACTGGAGATTGAATTCAACATACATCTATATTTTTTCCATAAGACTGGAAATAATGAGGATTCAGTATTTAATTTTTGAGTTTGTCACTCCAAATCCTGCCACCTCTTCAGACTTAGATGTGACTTTGACAGCCCTGCCAGACCAATGTTACAACATGGGTGTAGGACATCACTCAAAACCTGTCACTTGATGATTTGTCATGTAAGGCACCCACTCCTGATTTTCACAGAATAAAGAAGAGTGTCAAGGCTTTGCAATGGAAGAAGTGACCTCGCTTTTGTTGCATTTTAGCCTTTTGCCCTCAGCACAAAATTACCTGCTATACCTGCTTTGCTAGCACTGGAAGAAAAACGAAGACCTGAAGTTAACAATATGGTTCAAAACCAGTCCACAACAGCTGTGAAAGTAAAATAGAAAGGCAGTATGTGAAAAATAGGTGTTTTTCTTTAGAAATGTGCACATAGAGTATCAGGAACTGCAAGTACCCACTGTTTGAGGTATCATTGGATATGCTTGCACAATTTAGGGAACTACCTTTAGTGGGCAGCCAGGAAGGAAGTTCAAGTTTATCTAGGCTCTAGGTACAAGCAAATAAATTAGACTGCCTTGGGGCCTTAGATATTTCTCTATTTTTTCCCTCCACTTGGCATTTAGACATTTCTGTGCATACCTGGGAGATTGAGTGCAGGCATTTGAGGCATTCTCTAGGAGTTTCAGGCATCTCCATCTTTATGAAAGTACATGATATTCAATTTATTTCACTTTAACTATGGGCTCTATATAGTTTATTCTGTAGTTTGTTTATTAATTCTCCTCAGCAGTATTTATTTACCTGTCTAAAAATTTCTATTATTTCCCCCAGCTTACTTATAAAATATTGAACCACATCATCACAGTCACCGTCTTTAGGATGCCACTGCAGACCCTTTGGATTGGATAGAAAAGGCCATTTATGGCATTTTCCTGAATGCTCTCATATGCTGTCATATGTGAATTTTGAATCCATTTGAAATATTGATATTGTATGATGATTATTTTTAATTAGGATATTCTTGAGGTACTAAGGTGAAGTGATTCAGTCTAAATATTAAGTCATTGCAGAGATTTTTACCAATGTATATAGTAATTTCATTAAAATATGATTAAATGAATTTGACAAGATGTATTTTCATGAAACCATATTGATTGGCGTGATTATTTATTGTCATAATTTATATCTGTATTGATTGAACCCCTCATTTGCTGGTCCATTAGTTTGCCTGAGTTTTGATGTCACTCTAACCAGATTATTTCACTATTGCTCTAAGATGAGGTTTCCAGGAGTCCTCAGGAATCTTTACAGTGTTGCATACAAAAAAATGACAGCAAATACCTTTATTTTCTTGGCCAAACAATTGAAAACACATATTATCTGGATGTGGTGAATTAAGAGACTTTATTTTTTAAATGGTGTTTCACATATTTCTACCTATTCTTTTCATTGAGGTAAGCTTTTCAGCATTATACATTGCCTTTGATTTTCCACTTAAAATCCCAAAAGCGAGGTGAATTCAGTCAGAAGTTTGGAAAATGATCCCTACATGGCCATCAGAGAGATGTCTGAAGTGTAACAAGAAGCTCCAGGCAGCCAACAGTCTTCAATCCCACATCTCCAAATCTATGTCTTCCATTCTTAAACTCTCATATGAAAAGTTGATCTTGGTTCCCAAATTTTTGAAGGACCTCTTCTTGTTCTTTCATTTCAAAAGACAAGCATTATCCTCTGGGAACCATGGGACATGACAAAGCATGTATTACCGGGCTGTTAATGCACTCTGCACTTTGGCTCTGTGCCTCACAGTGCCCCAGGGACTTGCATTGATGGCCCAGTGATAGGACACACCCCATCGTGTCTTATTGCTTAATTGAACTCCAGACAAATTCAGTTAAACCACATATGCTGCCTTTTATGACTACTGCTTTACAGCTTGTATTTCCTCACTTCTTGGGTGCTTTTGGAGAAGTTTGTGTTATTTCAAATGTATCTCTTGAAACCACGGATTGTAGAGGCAGAGGTTAAGATCTACCCCTGACCCTTTTCCATCCTTGTGGCAAATGAGGATGTGCTTTGGGACAGGCAAAACACAAACCTTGAGGTGCACGCCTGGGAAACCTGTAGCAGAAAAGTAGAAGGCATCACAATTCTGTCTGATCTGTTGGCCACAAGACTCACCTTTAACAGCATGTCAGTCATGAATGTTATGTGGCTGGTATTAATTTAGCATCCATGGTACCCTCATATCAGAAAAAGCACCCCTAGATCATCTGTAGTGTTTGAGAGGTTTATAGTTCTCTAGTCAGGAGGACTGCATGCTGTAGCTGGAGCAATAATGAAATATCCTAATAGACCTTTCCTTTCCCTGTGCTACAGATCAGTATCCATGGGAGGAATGCTCACAGCCATTGAGATAATTGCAAATAATAAACCTCAGTCAGGCTGTGATATATCTCAGCATTTCACATCACATTCCCTGAACTTGGGAAACTGAGGCCAAAAGGACACCTACCTCTGACAGGGGAAAAACGGGAGGCACTGGGTGATACCAAACAGCTTCCACCAACTTTTGGTGACTGGTCTGGTCAAGGGAGAGTATGGAACAGAAGGATGTGATATTTTTTAGATATAGTGCACTGTTCTGTGTACAGTAAAGTTAATGTTTGTCTGATCAGAGTAAGTTTCTGGTGTACATAGTTACTTCTTTTATAGGGCTGAAGTTGATGACTGCAAAGTTTCATAGCACCTTCATGGGATCCTAGACTATGAATCATCTTTGAATGTTGTGGGACCTCAGGTAATTTCCAACACCATTTCTCCTGCTTGGTGTTAGATTAAACTATGGATTAATTTCAGTTTTGAGAAATCATGAGTGTCACATGCTCTGTATACCATGGATGACAAAGTGCTAATGCACACTGCTCAAGTATTTAAAGCATAAATCTTGAAATTAGTGATTTAATCAAAACTCTTAAAACCTTAATTTCAGAATAAAATTCTCAAGTGATCATGATTTGTATAAATTGCTTTTAGACCATGGACACAGTTTGATTGGTTATGCTAATAAAAGAGCATCATCGTGCTCTTTAGAAAAGAATATCACAACGAAATATGCTTTAGGAAATTATCAACTGTATCTATCTAACTGTCTATAAGGAACCTGGGGGAAATGCAGGGGGTTTAACATTAGCCTAAATTAATCCTGATGACACCACGACCAAGGCAAAAGCAGCAATGAAACCTATCTTTGCTCAGTATGACTCCAGGATTTAATACTTTGATTAATATAAAGAATCAACTGGATCTCCTTCTGACTAATAGTTTGTCATTCCTGCTGTCTTCATGAACTGGCACCACTGCAACCAACTCAGGAATGTAGCAAGGCCTAAAAGAGTTTTGCCAGCTGTTGGCCACAGTGTCTGTTAATAACAACTACTATTTTTATTGGTAATATTGTAAGTCCCTTATTGTATGGATGCAAAAGGCATGGCTGTTGTCATTTATGCTTAAAATGTGGATTTTTATCTGTCCCAGACACAATGAGTTTTTGGGCAGTGTGGTTTGCACTGAATTAATGTTCATAATTTCTGCGGTATCGAAGAACATCCCTTTGTGTGTTTCTAAAGCACTGCAATTACTTTGGTGTATTATTTTTGAAAGAAATTATGTGTAGTGACAATTTGAGATGAGCTGAAAAAATAATTTAAAAAAATAATTAGACACTTGAAGATTTTAGAAAATCAAATACATATTTACACAAAATTTAGAAATGATTGCCTGCCTTAAATTATAATCTAGGATAGTCTTAAAAGCAAGAGACATTCTGACACTTTCAATGATCTGGATGGATTTGTATTTTTAATTTCTCTCTCTCAAATTGGTGCTTCAGCATGGTGGGTCAGTGTGAGGCTGCTCCCCAGCTGATGCTCTTTGAGAGCAGCAAGGGCTGGCTCAGAACAACAAAGTTTGCTCTTCCACCAAGACTTTTATGCTGGTTCATGGAAAGGAGAAAAGCAAGCAACACAACTTTGGCAGCCAAAAGTGAGTTCAAAGGAGGTAACATCATATTCAAGAAGACTGCCCTACTCATGCGTGAAGCAGTATTTCAATTAAAATATATATATATATAAATTCTTAAATGAGGATTATTTATATGAATATATTTGAACTGTATTTCTCCTAAACCAGTAACATTGTACAAATATAGTGTAAAATTATAAGTCAGATTTTGTTCACATTGCAGTTTTAGGAGACATCAGAAAAACTCAGAGCCTCCTTCATCATGTGGTTTTGGTATAGGAGCGTGTCAGGTATATAATGCCACTCTCCATTTGAAGTTCAGCCACAGGGAGAGTGAGGTGAGACATTATTATGAGCAGTCACAACCTAAAGACAAGAAAATCAGCTAAACCAGTGAGCATTGTCCCAGAAATACAGTATTCCTCTGGAGGGAGGCTTCTATTTCTAGTCTAGACCTTTATCTGTGAAACATTTTAGGTGCTTTACCACATTGAGGTTTTCAGACTAAAGGTCCCATTAGATCTTGAGGGGTGTCTGCACCACCTCATGGTGGCCTTACTTGAGCCTTTAGTCTGACCACCTCTCCAAAAGGTGCAAAGCATCTTCGACTCGGTATTTGCCTACACCTTCATGGGGGCTTTGTGGAAATAAAGTGCAGTGTGTGTTCTCCTCAGAGGCTTATGTACAAGCTCCTTCTACTGCCTATGAAGAGAGCATTTTGTTAAAGGCTAAAGTTTTAACCCTTCGAAGATATTTTAAAGTGTGCAAGAGCAGCTTGGATGGGGCTTTGAGCAACCTGGCCTACTGAAAGGGTGTCCCTGCTCATGGCAGGGGGGCTTGAATCTACACAACCTCTAAAGTCTGCCTACCAACCCAGACCATCCTATGGTTCTGTGATGCTGAGTGTGGCACATAAGGCACAGCCACATGCCCGGTAGACATTTTTCTCCATTTCTGTAGATTTGTCCTGTCATATGTGCTGGCTGGTCACTGTGCCCTGAGCTAGGATATCCCCCTTCATACCCTGCCATGCCAGGCTGTCTGACAGCCTCATCTCGTGCTTTATTGGGAGGCAGCATGCTGTGGTGCTCAGAGCACAGGCTGGAGAGCAGAGCGCATGGGATCTCTTCCCAGTGCTTCCCATAGCCACAGGCTCATCCCTAAATTATACCAATCTTCACAGCTACAGCAGAAGGACAGTGATATTTATTTACACAACTCCTAAGCATGTGCAGTAGGCTTGGCAAGACCGTGCAAATTAATTCCTGCTAATGAAAGTTTGGGTTTTTTAATATTTCCCTTATGCTGTGACTCTGCCCTTCCTGTCATCACTTCTTATGCACATGAATTTGCCATTATGCCAGCAGCAACTCTGGGTCTTCACTGCTGCTGGCTGGTTATTTGAGCTGTGGTAATAACCAGAGGAATTCAGGCTTCACTGTGTCATACTCTCAGAATGGGAATTATCTCTACAATATGTAATCACTGCCCAAACGGAAAGATGTTTTAGAGAAGAATTTACAATATAAGGCCTTTATTCTGCAAATAGTAGTGCACTGGACTACTTTGATGAACAGGAGCAACTTCTGACTTAAGAATATGAAAACTAAATAAAAGAGTATTTCTTTTCCAAAACTGATAGCAGTGGATAAGAACGTGGTTTGAAAGATGGAGACCGAGTAATCAGATGCATAGAGATTTTCTGCTCCAAAGTTCATTAGTTTAAGCTGTGGTCCAGTGAAACCAAGTCTTTCTGTAGAGAGTCATATTAACATATGTGTTATAATTTTTGAGGGTTGCACACAAGAGCCAGAATCTTCTGCTTTGCCCACCATAAGGCATATGCAGCTCGGGACACACAGCCCTGAAAGATAGCACAGTTAAAGAAAGGTGATGTATTTCTCTGTGGTGGCAAATCTGTGGTGTTTAATAGCTCTTGTTGGCTTAAGAAGCACCAGATGGATTAGCAGTAACAGAGATGAAAGGTTTAACTAGTCAGGCAGGAACCATGGAGAACCATAGCCCATGGTACAGTGCTTACTGGATAGATAAACAGTAGTATGGCTAATCACAGAGGATGGTAGGAAAACCATTGATTACATGTTTTTTCATGGGAAAATGTTTCTTTTTTTGCTGAATCAAGAGTATTTTTGCAGACTCAGAAGAAATACAGACTGAGTTCTGGCATATCCATGCATCCTGGCAATCCTGACCAGTCTCCAGGATATTTATTACCTCCTCAAAAACCCAAAAAGTTTGACAGCTCACATTTTCATACTGATGAGACCAAAATCACATTCTGAAACTTGAAAATTTTTCACAAAATGGGTTTGTTTACCAGACAGCCCTATAAATAATATTTCTCAAAGCTGTGTTTGACAAGCATGATATTGTTAATATGGCTCCCGCTGGTGTGTCATCCATGGCCAGGTTTTCAGAGAAATGTCTGCACAGCAGAGCTATTGAAAAGCTCTGTATATGAGCTGCAGATACCATTTCTTTTGGAAAACTGTCTGCTTGCAGGGCAGTTAAGAACAGTGCCAAGTCAATGTTAAATCATCATATGGGAAATGGTTAACAAGACAGCTTTCCTTTCTACCTCCCATCTAATCTCTGCCAAATCAATGCACCACCCAAGACTGGAAGTTGAAAATGTAATAAACAGGTCCACGGTGAAGGATTGCACTATACCTGTGCCTGGAGCGGTTCTCTCTTCATCTCTCTTCACCAGCAGCATGCCCTCCTATTACCCAAGGGAAAAAATTAAATATTCAGATTGTTATTATTTATTTAGAGGACACAGAAAAAAATCAAACCAAGTCAATATTTATCCATCTGAAAAAAAGCCCAGTATATGACAGACGCTTTATTTGGGCTAAATTAGTAGACACATGTCTCAGAGAAATGTTGTTGTTGTTGATTTATTCTTTTGTCCTTCTTTCAGTTAAGCTTTCCTCAGGTGTTTTTCAAACCACAGAGCTTCGAAGGCTTCTGCAAAAAGTCTATTTTTTACTAAATTGCATTAGCTCTTTAAAATATACAGGAAAGATGAACTCATCTAATAACAACCTCGGAAAATAACTGCAGCTGAATATAAATAAAATTAAACTTTCACAGAGGAAAAAGCCATTTCAAACTATTTTTTCCATATAATCCATACCACAGATACTCAATAATTCAGTGAGCTTTCAGGCAATATAAGTCAATGTTGACTCATTAAATGCATTAGCTATAAAATGCATCTCTAGTAGGAAGGATGAGAAATGATTTGCGTTCTTCTCTTTTCATCATTATTCCTTAGTGGCTTTAGTTTTAGGTTTCGTTTTATTCTTTTGGGGTTTTTTTTCACATTTCACACTTTTAAAGAATGCTTTACAGAAACTTCAGGAGCTCTAGTACATCATTAAAAAATAAAAACCATTTTCTTCCTTACCAGAAACCTGACCATGAGCAAAATTGTCCTGGTTTTACTTAATACAAATGCTGACAGAAATTAAATTAATGCTTAATTAATCCTTCAGAGATGGCCAGCCAAACAAAAACGTGGAAAACTAAACTGGTAGGGCCAGGAATGAGGAACTCTTCCAGCCTGGCAGGGCCCAGTTGTGCTGGACTTTGACAGACACGTGAGACAAAGAACAAAAAATCTTAATAAATAAAAAGTATCAATTATATTAATTTGAAAATTCCCCTCGTCTGTGAAGGGGTTGTGATTTGCAGGAATTTTGCAGGAATTTTGGCATCAGAGTGCCAAGTTTTCAGTCTGTTAACTGGATTTCTGGCATTGACCAGCTATATCTTGTTAGGATGTTCAAAATTATTGGATTGCAGCTTCTGTATGTGGAAAACTGAACATCAACCCCTAATATAACAGTTGTGATTCATATATTTCAGTTTTTTCATATAAATCAGTTGTGATTCAGGTAGGATGATATAAGAGAACATGGACATCAGAAGTTAAATGATGTAGGAAATAATGTAAGTTGCGACTATTCAATAAGTAAATAATTAAAGAAATAAAAGCAAAACAACCCTAAGGCAATACATATGGGTCTTGGCATATAACTCAGCAAAAGAAAGCTGGGTAAGACCAGCCCCAGATGAACTGATTTTTTTGGTTATCCACATGTTTCTCTTCAGTGCCACATATGGAACAAATAAACAATATAATTTTGTCTGGTTAAGTTAGGTGAGTTGGCTAAGCTAAGAATCTGGAATGCTATTACAAGTGCATTAGGTTGGTTAGCCACTCAAAAAGGATTTAAAAAATCAGCCTCCTAATGCCCCTTTGTTTGCTCCCCTGCTCCAAGAGGCCATTCATTTCTCCCTCTAATGCCTAAAGAATTATTTTCACATTCTCGTCGATTATTACTTCAGTGTGAAACCATTGTCGGCAATATGAGTTCAGCTGTTATCTACTCCCTAAAAAAAAATTATTTCCACATTTGCTATGTAACAGCCTGACAAACAAATAACACCTGCAGAGGATCATGCTCAATAAAGAAAGGGAAGAAAAATAGGTGGAAAGCATGAGAATTCCACTAATGCTCAGTGATTGATCTTGTCAGTACGCATTGCCTGTCAGAGCACATTGCCCCAGCACAACCACACAGCACTGAGGAACCAGCAGCACGGGAAAGAAATGCATTTCTGTATAGATCACAGCCAGACACCCTCCCCCAGCTTTCTGAGTGGAGCTTGATTGTCAGCATTATACACACGCTCAGACAATGCTTTCAATAGACGCCTTTTTGGAAGACAATTGCAGAAAGCATGATAACGGGATTTGTCACCCTGATGTGGCTGCTGTTTCAGCAGGCATTATAATAATGAAAGGAAGTTTTACTAATTGAAAATGTGAATGAAATTCAGCTGTCTTTTTATTTTAATTCTTTTGGATGAAAGCCAATTAAGATCATCTGTCTAATGCATCTATTCACCCCTACTTCAACAATGTGTCAATTATAATGGATGTCTAATAAACTCAGTCTTCCCAGGACAGAGAGCTGAGCATACAAAACAACTAGTGAGAAATATTAACACATACCTGTAAAGTATTTTGTAAGGATTGACCAAACCCTTCAAATGGCTGAGTTTATTTTCCACAGCATGCCTAAGAGGAATTAACCTGCACATCCTCAGCAGGGAGTGGTTTGGGCACATCTGTGCTCTTCCACAGCTATTCTGCACTAGTGGTCCTAAGCACATTGTGGGGCCTCAATATTCAAGGCTATTAGATATCTAATAATTTAAACAGTACACAGTATTTTTGAGGAAAATAAGTCCGAGTGCAACATCACCTGTGTGTTTCATCTCATTTCATCTCTTTACTCACGTGTTTCTGCCTCTGTGAGGCATCTGACTCTTGGGCTCTTCTCACTCACAAGTGTGGCTCAGAGGGGGAGGTCTTGTGGAGGGAAATTGATCACACTCAGCCTGTGTCCATTGTACACATCTTTCAGGTGTTTTGCCCTAGATTAGTCTGGTTGTGTGGACTGAAAGCCTATTAGTGGCATTAAATGCTTTTCTAGAGCTCATCTTACAGCTTGGTTTAACACATAAATAAGCCAACTCACATCATTCAAGACAGTGCTGCAATGCAAAGAAAATGCAGTAGATGAAGGCAACGTGCTTCAAAAGGACATGCACAATATGGATTGAAGTGTAAGAGTAGAAACAAAGATGCTCAGAAGAGAACCAGCATGCAGAGAGAGAAGTTTGAATAATCCTAGTGAAATAAGTGTAAAAATGCATCTTATAACTGGTTAAATATAGTGTTAGCAATAGGTACGGTACACAAATATGAAAGTCCAATATTTAGACCTCTGATATTATTAGGACCCTTACAGAAGGGGTGGTTGTAAAAACATTGCAAATGTTCCTGTAAAAACACTGCCTCTATAAGATGCACGTTTTCACTATATAAAAAGCCACTTAAAAATGTCTGTGTTAAACGTTAAAGCTTGTCTGTTGCTGTCACCAGTGCTCCTTCTGTGTCCATCTCTGCCACCACTTTTTCTGCTTTGGCTGTAGCAGTGTAACACTGGCTACAATATCAGGAACCTGATTAAACCATCTTTTAGGGGGGTAGAGTAATAAATGCATTATTTTTAAAAACTTTTAAAAAAATCTCCTCACTGAAATTCTCCTGTATTTTTTTTCTGCAGATACTCTAGACTATGATTTTAGTGGAAGAAACTCTTGCCTAAAAATGTTTGAGTAAAGTCTCAAAGTATATCGTGCACATGAACTTCTAATTCATCCATGGCAAGAGTTTGAGTAAAGTAGGCCAGGAAAAGCCTATTCAAAGGTTAAACTCATCCAGTCAGGCAACAGAAACCCTTCCCACTTCTTTCTCCTCAACTAGAATAGACCAGATACAAAAGAATTAAAATCTTGCTCTTGGGTACAGGGAAATCAGCCCCAAGCCGAGCATTAATTTAAAATTACTATCTCACAAACCCCTACACATAGCAAGAACATTCAAGATCCTCATAGATCATTTATAGACAATATAGAAACAGAAATAGGACACAATGAATTGAATCTACTACAGTGAAATTATCTGACCAGCTGTGGGTCCACCAGAAAGCCCTTTTTGCTGCAAACACCACCTGTGAGAGTAGAAGGTTTTTTGGAAAGGAGAAGCTCAGACAGATCAGCAAAAAGGCCAATACCAATCACAGTACATCTAGGTTCATTGCTTGACTCATTAGGGAGGTTTTTACCTCAGCTCTTTGTGTTATTATTAGCCTTACAAGAGTAATGTGGGATTAAATATTTCTCCATGCTATACCTGTGTATATACTCCCATTGACCTTTCTGTTCTGAACTCCAATTTAAATTAATTCTTTATTAAAACCACTATAAAAGTGAAATATATGGCTCCACAGATTAAATTCGTATTTGCTGATGTAGTGAAAAACTTACTTTGGAAGTCACCATCCAGGCTCACCTGAATTGTTAGGCATCTATATCTGTATGCTTTTGCCAGACTTAGATCATCAGATACTTCCCAAATTGTTGAGCCCTATGGTAACCCAGAGAAGTACTTCCTTATATTTTTCTGTTAAAACTGTTCCACCTGCATGTCCCTACCAAATACTCATTTGGTCCTAGATGAACAAAGTTTAAACTCTTACAGAAGAAAAGTTAGTTGACCTAGATTATCTCATGCAAAAACTTTGGGTCTTCTGTATCCTAAGTTTATTGACTGTGCTTTTTGGTTCAAAGAAAATAAACTTCCCCAAGATCTTCTTTTGGTTTATCTTTTTGATAGTCATAGCAGTTCAGGCTTTGCAGTTCTGAGTACCCCAATGGACTCTGGTATAAAGCACACCCACTCTACTCAGCTCTGCTGTAATAATACATTGTTTGTATATATCCTGACTTTTCCCAGACAACTGTGGAATAGATTTATGGAGCAAATGCAAAGTTCTGGGCAATCCAGATCTTCTAGGATTAATGAACAATTTTTAAGGATCCATATTTTCCATTTCAGTCCCTAAAACAGTAATGAAGGTCTTTAACTTGTGAATTTAGACCCTGGAACTTCTAAATAAGGATTTATTTGGTAGAAGCATTTCAGGGCAAGATTTCAAAGGAGAACAATGTGCATATCTAGTATGTATCAGAGAGGTAGCCCTCACCTTCCTCTGCATCCCAAAATCTCACCATCTCTGACATCATAAAAGTTTTGGAGGATCCTGTTTGAAACTCTGGTAAATGTACAGTGCAGACTGG